CCGTGACCGCGATACCGCCCGTGACCGCGACAATCGTATTGAGAAGGAGTGAAGCCCATGACCGCGACGCGATACGTCCCGTGACCGCGACAGGATCGCGATAAGAAGAAGTTTGCTTGCTGGGGCATGACCGCGACGTGACGCGACACGTCCCGTGACCGCGATACCGCCCGTGACCGTGACAGGATCGTGTGCCGTCTAGATAAGAAGAAGTTTGCTTGCTGGGGCATGACCGCAACGCGACGCGAGATGTCCCGTGACCGCGATACCGCCCGTGACCCCGACAGGATCGTGTGCCGTCTAGTCCCGTGACCGTGATACGGGCCGTGACCGCACCACGATTGTGGGCCTTCTGAATGGCTGTCCTGTGTATGAGTAGTTTAGGTCTGCAGATTATGTTGGAAAAAGGAATTAAGCCAACCATAAGCAGACAGTCTTATCTGTTCATAGATGTATTGTCTTACCTAGACAGCTTGTGACCGTGACGCGACGCGACGCGACGTGGAGGGAGCCACTGTCCCAGCCAGGAGGAAGAGGATTGTTCCACAAGCCTGAGGAGAAGCTGGGTGGATAGAACCCCAGGGTGTGCCTGTCCAGAGTGGAGAATGCCATGTCTGGGGGGAGGGCACCTGTGGAGAATGCCATGGGGTGTGGATGAAGTCAAGGGAAGGGAGGCATAATCCATAGCTTGGCCTTCCTCCCTGTGGTACTATCCATTACCCTTCCCTCAGCTGAGTGGGACTATCCATCATGCCACTGGGGATGCTTCCACCAGCTCTGCTGGCTCCACCATGGAATCCTCCACCAGTTCTTCACCAGGGGTGGTGGAGCTGTCCACCAGCCCTCCTCCCAGCACAGAGGAGCCTTCCACCAGTCAACAATGATCACATGAGTGTTCAATTTCCTATTGTGGAACTTAAGGGGACGATGATATACCCCTGATAAGCATGTCTGGCAAAGCCACCTGCTCCATATGGTCTTGACTCTATTTGGGTTTTGACATCAATTTGATAGTTCTTGGTTCAATTCTTCTTCTGTGCACTTTTTCTCTTTTTACTTCTTGTTCCCTTTCTTAGTCCTGTTCATGCCCCATCCTTCAAAGCCACCCAGTCTTATGGTCAGAAATCAATAATATATTTAAAAATGGAGTCATAGGTGAGACTCTAGTCAAGACATATCAAGGGATTATTTATTCATAGGCAAGGCTCCAAGCAAGTGCATTAGTAATAATTTCCAGAGAAAATTTAATTTTCTGAGCTAGCAAATAAGCTGATACCAGGGCTGTCATCTCTATGGATCATGTATTGATAGGCAAGGCTCCCAGCCAGCCTACTAGTAGGGAAGATTCAATTTTCTAAAGGGGCAATTCATTTAATAAGGCTATCATCAGGCTCTCATTCTGCAAGCTACAGTACAGTGAACATGGTCAGGTCCATTGCCCTGGGTAGCTACTATACTATACAAGGTCCAACACCTACCTAGACTGGCTCAGCTGCACTACAGAGGCAATGATACAGGCAATACTAAGATCCAAAATAGGCAGTTATGGTGGTAACCTCCACAGTAATGTGACGTGACAGGTGGGGAAGCCTCCACATCCGGTGGTAGGATCCCGGCCAGTGGAAGGGCTCCACTTTCTAGGGGATCATAGGTGGAGGGTTTGCCAAGGTACATTAACCTTATTAGGTTTGGGTCAGGGGTAGACTGAGGTGCCGCCTCCACATCCCACGACTATCCCCGAGCTGCGCCGGGCGACATGCGATGCTTGAGCAACGGACTCACGCTGCGGCGCTACTCCCCGCTACTAGTACCCCTGATGATGAATTATTCCCGCAACGCGAACTATACCTGCTGAATTGCCAGTGAGAAATATGATTCTCCACCCTGCGCTGCAACCTTCCCTGCATAAGTTTGAGAAACCCAAGCTGCTTACCCTGCGATCCACGAATTACCCACGCTGCTGATTGAACCTCGAACTGAGAGCCCACCTGCGATATTGTTGCCTGCCTGCCACATTCCCCCCGAGACGCTGTTTTGCGCTGCTGAATTGCTCCCGCCACCACCGCCTTCTACACTTTTGACCGCTTGGCGACCCCTTCTGATCCGGATCAACCTTCTGAACTACATTTCCGCTGTTGCCCTGATTCGCAGGCCCATGTTTGCCTGGTCAGGCAGTGGTGTAGTTGCTTTAGGACTTCCTCTTTGGAAAGTTGCCAGACTTGATGAAGTCTATGGACTCTCTCCCCCATTTCTGTTTCACTTTTTCACTTTTCTGATTTATTCCTTGTTAGTGTTCTCTTTCCAGTGAGTGACTGGGGACAGTCACTTTTTGAGTTGAGAGGAGGTGACGAGCCTGCTCGTCACAAGTCACACTTTGTCACCCAGTTTGATTTCCTATTTTAGTTTCCACTTCCTTTTCTAGTTGCTATTTCCTACCTTAGTTTCCATTCCCTATCTTTCCTGACTTTGTTGCTCATTTTCCATTTGATTTTAGTTTCTATTTCATTTAGCCCTGATTTATCTAGTCTATAAAAGCCTGTCCATAGCTAGTAGTTAGCATCATCCTTCCCAGTGCTTCCCCTCCCAGTCTTTCCCTTCTGAGTTTGAGTTCTCTTTTGAGTTCTTGAGTTCTTGGTGTTGAGTTTCCTGAGGAGTTTGTTAGCTCTGAAGGCACTTGCACACTTAGTCCTTGTTTGTCTTTTGGCAAGCAAGCATGTCAGTGCGATGGTTGTGTTGAAGTTTTCTTCTTTGCTGAATCGGTAAGGGCAACCCTGGAGACTCCGATGAAAGCCTAGCAGGGGAGGATTAGGGTTGAGCCCGGGTGCGGGTCGGCCCGGCCGGGTTGGCGGGCCCGGGTGGCCCGGGTGGCCCGGGTCCGGGTAGCGGGATGATATCCGAGAACACCCAGTCAGGCCCGGACCCGGCCAGGGTTTACCCGGTGGGTCGTGACAGGCCATGTGACACTTACATCACCCTTGACGTGTCATTCTCCGCTCTACTGGTCTCCTCAATGGCTCCATTCGTCCTTCCCCTGCAAGGACTCCAAGGTACGAACTCCTCTCTGCCGAGTTCCCAATGCACAAATCCCTTATTATAGGGGTCATGAGGCGCTGTTAAAACGTCGTGCGGCACCAGCAACCACCCACCACCATGTCTGCCTTCAGCGCGCATGTCGGTCGTGCCGCGTCGAAAGCGGCCAGCTCGATATCTAGAGCTGGCAAGTCAATCAAGAAGGCTGCGAAGAAGGTTGCAACCTCTCTATCCAGTCAGTATTTCCAAGTTCTTGCAGCAACATACTGACGATGTGCGTTGTTAGGTGGATCACACAAAAGCAAGTCCATTTCCGAGTCGTTTTCCACGTGGCACAAGAAGTCGTTGGAGACGGATGCACAGGAGAGAGCTGAAGATGAAAATGCCAGCCCAGACAGTGAGTACTTTACCTTGCGAACGTCCCTTGGCATTAACTGGCTTTTTGTAGCGGCGAAATGGACATCGGGAATCTATCAATTCTTCGATTCTAATGTCAAGACACTCACGGAAACCGATGGTCGAACGTATCAGGCATTCGCATGCGGGGCCAAGCGATGCAAAGGAAAAGGTGCGCCACAGTGTTGCTTGTCTTCGTAGGTACTGAATGAACTGTTCAGGCGACTTCAAGGGCGTGAAACGCTACCAAACCCGACTGGATGGCAAGCCCTCGAGTGACCGCTCATCCACGTCTGGCCTCAAAAAGCATGCGCGTGCTTGCTGGGGCAAGCTCATCGTTGATGAGCGCTTGTCTGGCACTTCCGCTAGCGGTCCATCAGGAAAACTCCATCCTCCTGGAGGCCCTGGCAAGGCCCTCAAGATTCTGTCATTGATCTGGCATGGCTGGTGCGGCTGTTCCGGCTGGTGCCAGACATCTGACAGAATTTGATGTGCCTTGCCAGAATTTGGCCTCGGAAAACTTGCTAAGTCCCGCATCAATCATGGGACATCCATCTGTTACTGATGATCTTCTTTCAGCATGGCGACGCCTATGGCGTGATTTTTCACGGCTTTCTTTCCTCCCACCACATTCCCCCCCACTTCTTCTCTCTCTCCTCCCACACCCACAGCGCTGAGCCCTGTTGTGGAGCTCTAGTGGGCAAGGAGCCTTAACAGCCTATAGGTGCGTGCTGCTGCCCTCGTCTCCCTCCAGACTGTTGACTGGTATCCAGCAGCGCGGCGGGCGGTGGCTCATCTCTGCCCTCAGAGTGGCCCGCTGACGCTGCGCGACCCGCTGACACTGCGCAACCCGCTGTCGCTGTCGACGCTGCCGCGCCCCTCTCCACCGCGCGCACAGGAGGGCTTGGCACCGATCGACACGGCCCCACTGCTCTAGAAGCACAACAGCAGGCTCGGGTCCCAACGCGAACTTACACTGTGAGTCCGTCCCCTTTCCGATAACGTTGGCGCTGACAAGTGACAGCGAACAAGGACGTGTACGACAGCCCGCCGCCCGTGTCGTCAACCTTGCCCACTGTGAGTCCGTCCCCTTCCCGATAACATTGGCGCTGACAACAAGGACGTGTCCGACAGCGCGCCGCCCGTGTCGTGAACCTTGCCCACTACCGGGGAGTGGCACGCGTGGGCGCACAACCGTGTCACCCCCGACGACTCAGGCCCTCGTCGCTGCTCGTGATATTCTTTGCCTAGCCCCAGTGAGTCTGTCCCCTTCCTCGTAACGTCAGCGCTGACAGGTGACAGTGAACAAGGATGGGTACGACAGCGTGCCGCCTGTAACGTTACGCACTACCCATCAGGAAGCAAGGATTTGGCTACGGAACTGCAGGCCAACTCTACGCGTGGCACCATAGCCATCATAGCGCTCCCGTTGCCATATGATGAACTCCGGTTGCTTCTTGTAGAACTATAGCACCTACTGCCAGGGATATACACAATCACATATTTAGGACTGCTAGCTATGAATGCTATCGTAGTGCTTGAGTTTTTCATAGCAAAACAATCAAATAAATAAATTAATAATTAATATGGTTTGCACCCCGCGCAAGCACAGCAGCTAGGTCGGCTGCCTTGCGCTTATGGTACTCTGAAACAAGATATGTGGTATAGCGAAAGAAGAAAAAGTCTCGATACCATAAGTAAGGATTGAAATAGAATGATGTCGCTTCAGTTAATACATTGTCGCAGTTCCAATTTGGGTTGATTGGGTCAGCGAACTTCGGGATTAAATGGCATGTCTGCACAATATCAGCCAGGGAAATGATTGATGCACGACGTTGGCCAACAGAAGTTGAGTGCGAGATCCGAGACAGTCCAGAGGCCGTCTCCAGATCGGAAAGAGGGTTGTTGAAGGCAGTGAACCAGTGGACATATACCAAGGGGTGTGGATAGGCACAAACACTTGATGGGAGGCGGAAAATGAGCTTCACTTGTGCCGCTTGCAAGCCTAGATCAATTGTGCGTAAGTAAATGACAAACTGCTAATTAACGAGTTACCACTCAATGGACCTTCCATCCAATCACTAGGTTTCACCCGAGCGAGGACAGTGCTGAACTTTGCTGCACTGCCCCGCGTGATGCCCTGGTTTGATATGGAGCCCTTGGTTGCAAGGATGGCTTGCACAATATCCGCGGTCTCGGCCTCTGTCTCGGCGGCACGGATTGCCGAAGGGTGAAGAGATGCTCGTTTGAATGCGCCAAAGTGAGTGGTCGGAGAGAGAAGCCCACCCCCGGGTAGATTGTTGCGTGCCAGAAACTGCTGGAGATAGAAGAGGAAGTCCCGCACCTGGAAGCGACTTTCGATTTCTGTGACGGAGAGATTCGGATAGCCGGGCCGAGCGGAAACATTGCAGGCAACAATCTCTGGGTTGTCTTCCGAGTCCTCGTCCCCTGGGTCATCTCCCCGCCTCATCTGCCTGGTCCCAGTCATCCCAATCAACGTTTGAGGGGGCCGTATAACCCTGGCCTGGAGTGTAGCCCGGACAGGCCCACTGCAGATAAAGGGAGAAGCGATGAACAGCTTCTTGACGCGTGAGCCAATGCGTCATTTGTTGGATGTAGTCGCGACGATTCGACGCGCGGTAGCCGTTCTTCGCCAGGTCGATATGTAAGCGTTCGGTATTCTCGGTATTGTATCCATCAGCAGTACCCAGCAAGCGAATTGAATCGACATAGTGACGAATGTTGTGGAGTTTTGGAATATTGAAGTCGGTACGCTCTGGCCCGAGTTCGCGGAAGACGGGCAGATACTCATGCATATTCACCCAGGCCGCCTCCATCGCAGCGAGGGAGTCTTCAGTATGGACTTGAAAATGAGCATATCCCATGAAGTCGAGAAGGTGACGTGTCACCGCGGTCACCCGTTCATCCACCACATCGTGAATAGCCCCCAGAAAGGTCTTCGCAAGCCCTCGATATTCAGAGCCCGTCCATTGCTTAATGACGGATGTGCCGTTAGCAAAGTGACGGAGCGTGGGATGCCGAGGCATAGCCTTGAAACGTGCATCGAGCTTCTTCTTCCGCTCCTCCTCCGCTCCCCCCATCGATTCTGCCGCCCAGCTTGAAATATGGTCAGCGAATACGCCCTTGTGAAGCTGGTGGAGAAGGTCGGGGGTAATGCAGGAGTGGATGTCGCAGTGAGGTAAGTCGGCCCAAAACGGATTGACTGGGCGCAAATTCAGCTCGCTGAACTCCTTTGGCCTCAGGCCCTTAGCCTGTGCCTCCAGAACCCTCAACGTTTCCGCTTGGCTACGCATCGGGAACTCCGTTGTCGACCCTCGCTCTTTGGGCGGACACGAGCACCGCGGGCATGAGTTTTCCTGGCAGCAAACAACCAGGCATTGCTCAGGATAGTCTGCAATATATGCAGCCAGCAACGGGAAGCACCACCGGACCCATCCATCGGCACACACAATATCGACACCCTCTTTTCCAGCATCGACCAACGATTCGAGCATCTTGCGCATGCAGTCGTGGAAAATGCGATAGGCGCCGACTTTACGGGCTGTTTTGGAGTAGCAATCCAGCTTAGGCACCGGTATGTAGCCCAAAAGCACCGTGGCCCGCGAATTAGGCTGACGCCGCACAGACTTGCTGATGTTGCCGATTGAGATATAAACCGGCCACGCTTGTTTATAATGACGAGAGCTGGGTCTTGTCGGACGAAAGGATAATCGGGATAATGGTCGCGCCATCGTCCAGGAGGTCCTGTTACTTCAGTAAGTCAGTTTTGCACCAAGATGACAACAATCCACTCACCTGCGTGTCCCACCACCAGGTACCAGTCCACATTTCATCATATTCCCTATTTCCCAACTCGCCTGTCGACTCGTTACGTGTGCGGAACAGCCGCATGGGCTTAAACGTTTGCTCGCTCTTGAATGCAGGATTGCCGAGCAACTCGGCAATGCATTCGAGTGGATTGCGATGCCACAGTTTGACAACCTCCACTTTCGCATTACCATTCCCATCCAACTCGTCGCCGGTAATGTTCATCGGCGTACACATCCAAGCTGGGCCGGCCGGGAGCGAATCAATGTGTTTGAAAAAGGCGCGACTTGTTGCGAATGGTGGCTCAAGCTTGTCTCGGACCTTGAGAGGTCAGTCTTTCAATTGCGATAGATATCCTTTGACTTACCTTCTTCAAATGTAGGAACTCGTCAATGCTTCCTTGCGATAACCCCGAACGAATGAGCCAACGACCGATATCCCAATCTTCAAGGGACGGAAAAGGTGAGCAGATCTCCTCCCCCGAGTTCTCTGTTGCCTGACGCCACTCTTCGAATGGTGTACTCTCTTTCCATTGCCCCTTTCCTGCCTTGCGGTCGGACGGGTACTGTTGGCGGTGGAGATATCGAGGATCGTAACTCGATATGGGATCATTGGTTGTGTCGTCCGGCACCTCCTCCACTCGAGGACGTTGGCGAGGCGGTTCCTCGGGGTCATGGAGGAGCTCGTTGACCTGCTCCGAGTTGAAGTCGATATCCATTGCTTCATCGGTACCCGTTTTTAGCCTTGGTGAGTCATGAAAAGCTTCGTTTTTGTCCTCTCGCTGAGAAAGCCGTTCTTGAACCTGCAGACAACGCTTGTTTTGCATTTGGTGCGAGACAAGACCTTGCTTGGTCGCAATACGAGCACTGCAGAAAGCGCATTTGGGCATCGCTGGAGCTAACGGTGAAAACGGTGAAGACAATATGCTTGGCACCATCTGAAGATCGCCACCGCAGTTGCCTAGCCGCTGATTGCACACCATATGGCTCCACTGTCACACACCCTCTCTTTTTTTTCTTGCCCACCATGTCACCTGTAGTTCCCACATATCCTTTCTAATATGAAGTGACAGTATACCTGACCGTCAATTCATATTAGAAGGAAAGTATCAAAAATCCCTGTGCTGCAATAAATGCTAGAAGAAAACTGCAATAATTTCTCGATATATGACCGAAAAACTTCTAAGTCAGCGGCTGCTACATATGCTGCAGTAAATCTCTAACATTTAACAAAGTATGTAAGTTAGTTCTATCCGATCGTAGACTACTTAAAAAGGAATATAAATGAAGTCCCAATCATTAGTAAAATTTCAGCCCCTGTACAGGCCACTACCTACCAAGTCTATACACTTTGTTATGTCACAAGCGTGACATACTTCCCAAAAAGGAAATTTTCGCAGTTGAAGAGCAGAATGATCTGAGAATGTCACAGATCGTCACAAAATCAAAGTTGTGCCTTTTGACTATACAAACAACTTTCATTAAGTGACCTATAGTCACAGCTCAATAAATATGTCCAAACTGTCTAATGACTGGCTAATAGGTAACTGATGGGCCTCTATCTCCATAGCTACTCCAGCTACATATATGAATCAAGTACCAAATGAAGGGTCTCAAAGGTATCATTGATCACGGGGGTTTTTTTGATCATCATGATTTAATATGATTATTATATTCACTATTCATTTATAAAAAAGAGAATATCTCAGAATCAAAACATGTAAGGTGGCTGGATTGTAGGTTTAGATACTCTAGACTAAGGCTCTAGTATGCAACCTTCCAACCTACCATGCATATGGCACTGAGAATACAATGCATTCGCTCATCAGTGGTATTTGATCTCCATCAACCCTGAAAGATAAGCATGGATCTTCAGCTAGCCTGGGAGGATAAAGCTAGGAGAGAGCTCATTTGAAAGGTGTATCATGTCACCATCTCCTAGCCCCTTCAGTCATATTATCTGTCCCCATGAGGTGCTCATAGCTCTGATGGACATCCGATAGACCATACTCCAACTTGAATCATGCTTATCCATGGATCCCTCAGCAAGATATCAAGTGATCATGGTGCTCAATCAAATTTAAAAAAGGAAAAGTACAGAAAAGTGGGATACCAGTATAACCTAAGGTTATAAGAATAGACTCATATCAGAGCATGTTTACATTAGGTTATTATCTACCTACCAGTATAACAATCATCTAATTTGATGTAGAATTGGTGGAGATATTACTGCATCAATGTGTGTGATGAATAATCATGAGATGATATATATATATTAATAACATTGTATTGTCAAGGCATTATTCTTATCATACAGGTACCCTTTGTAGTGCTGAAATCATCTATGTAAGTTATCTACTTACTGAGATATTACTACATCAGGGGTACATCAGCAAATGATTAGCCAGTGCTGACACATTTATTGAGCTGTGACTGCAGGTCACTTAATGAAAGTTGTTTCTATAGTCAAAATGTACAACTTTGATTTTGTGACGATCTGTGACATTCTCTGATCATTCTGCTGTTCCACTGCGGAAATTTCCTTTTTGGGAAGTATGTCACCCTGTGACCTCATGTCACACCATGTAGCAGAGTGTACGAACCTGGTAGGTATTGGCCTGCACAGATGCTGACATTTTAGGACTTCATTTATATTCCTTTTTAAGTAGTCTATGATCAGATTAAGTAGTCTATGATCAGATAGAACTAACTTACATACTTTGTTAAATGTCAGAGATTTACTGCAGCATACGTAGCAGCCGCTGACTTGGAAGTTTTTCGGTCATATATCTAGAAATTATTGCAGTTTTCTTCCAGCATTTATTGCAGCACAGGGATTTTTAATACTTTCCTTCTAATATGAATTGACGGTCAGGTATACCGTCACTTCATATTAGAAAGGATATATGGGAACTACAGGTGCACCATGTCGACGAAAGCCCCCCGTCCCCAACGTTCGACGCAGCCAACAACCAAGCGCGCTCAAGAGAGTGAGTTGTTGTTTTCAATGGCAGTATAGCGCAACACTCATGCTGAAAGCAGTGGACGACGATGACGATGCGCGTATTCGTCAGCTGGAGAAAGAAATGAAGGCCCTGCGAAAGCGCCAAAAGGCTCGCAGTCAAGGTGGGTTATGCTATTCCTTCGAATGCTTCTCAAGTTATGCACTGGCAGGCAATCCTGCTCCCGACAACGACAGTGAGGAACTCGAAGATGAGGAGCCTACAGGGCATCCACAGCCTCGTTGCCTCTTTGGCGCTTCGGTACGTCGTCTATGCCCTCGCTTCTGTTTGCTGACCTGTTGTAGGCTGTTCCGGGAGACACATATACCCCGCAATTGCCAGTCGATCGTGTTGCGACTGCACAGCGCTACAAGAAACAAAAGCAACCCCTCGCTGACCGCACCAACCAGGAAGATGAGACGACGGCTGTATCGTCTCCGACAACACAGGCCCTCCAGCGCAAACACCCATTGGGCCATATCGACTCTCCCGCTGACTTCTTCAACAACGATGAGCCGCTCATCATCGACAAGCGTACTCACGATGATGACGAGGATGAGGAGGAGCAACTGGATGTTGTGCGCCCTCATCGCCGCATTCGTGTTGGAGGTCAGGACAGTGTGTCATCTTTTTAATGACGTGTCTGGATTCTCACTACATCGGAGATACAACGACCGCGAATGGCGAGACTATTGCCCGTTTTTCGACAAAGTTCAAGCGTGGTGCGAAGCCCAAAGCAGAGGACTATGCCGATGACTCTTACGAGGTCATCATCGACACCTGCCATGGTCTCGAAGTCCTTGTCCTTACCGAGGCCCGCGTTCATGCGTGCGCGAGCAGCAACAACCGAGGCGCCTTCCGGAACCCCAAATGCCATTGCAGCGGAGATGCCGTTGCTCAACGAGGCTATCAAGCAGTGCTGGGAGAGTGCGAACCACCGAAAGGGCACCAATTATGAGCTTACGACGCACATCCGGCGTATTGTGCGTGGCTGTCTCGTTCCGTAAAGGAATCTAATTTGCTGCAGATCAAGCAACGCCTAAGCCGCGTCCGGGGAGAGTTTGTTCGCTCCTCTGCCCGCCCCATCGTCCAGGTCGAGTTCCAGTTCCTCAATGGTTCCTCGAACAAGGTCAAGCGCGCAAACGAGAAGAAATACCGGGATGCAATGGATAATCAAGCGTATCGCTACAAGGTCTGTGTTCTAGCAGTGTGCAAGCGCATCTTGATACTATCCATCCAGGACATGAAGAACCGCAAGTACCTTTTTGAGAACAAAATTGCGCTCAATATCCTGAGCCACGCTTGTTTCAATAACGGGCTCAAGTCTGTTGGTATCACGCATGAAGAGCAGTTCATGCCTATCACCCTCCAAATGCTTGCGTTTGTCTATACCACGGTACGCTTCATTCCTTTTTGTACTCCTTCTGATGTTGTTCTCCAGATTCAGCACTGTCTTGACGAGTGGAAGACGGGTGTCCGCATACCACAGAAGTTTGAGGAGACGGTCGTCGCACCCAAGTACTATGCGATGCTGTACGACATCCTGTCATGGGATTCTGTGGACCCTGCTTTCTCGGACAAGTTGCGCACCAAATGGGCAAGAAGCCTTCGGTATCCTTCTACGTTTGCATTGACTTAGCTGCTGACCAGAATTAACAGGCTTGCTGCTGGTATGAAGGAGGAGCAAGTAGTGGTCGAGGCCTTTGTCACCGATGCCATCAAGGAAAAAATTCGTCAAGAGCAGGAAGGCAGGGGGGGAGATACTGAGTCTGAAGACGATGAGGACTAAGCTCGTAAAATTAGATGATAAAAATTGCAATTTCATTTCTGGTTTCCGTACGAAGGGGCAAGATACAAGAGCATGAATAGTCAATATAGCAGTGGACTGCCCATAGCTCTGTATGTGGATATAGAGGATATGAGCTGCTACGGGAGCAGAGCCATAGTTATGGCTGTTCGCTATGGGGTGCTATGGCACTGCTATATAGTGGGCACCTTGTCTACATAACTACAGTTGCTATGGAAGCTACTGTAGTGCTATTGACTCAGGACCTGTGCTTCCTGATGCCGGCAGTGGCACGCGGCGTATCGGGAGCGGCGCACGGCCTACACAGCGCACACCCGTGACACCCCGGCCAACCACCCGCTCTTCTCTGTTCATCCCAAGCCTGTCCTGTCCGGGTCTCACATCGGACACATACTCAGCCTGAATTCCGGTTAGTCCCGGTGTATTATCTATGCAGTAACACTCATTTTGTCGTTTTAAGTGCCCATATTGTCCGCTGGATTGCAGAAGCGGCACGACCGCTGCGAACTATTGAAGACCGCGAGCTCAAGGAGCTGCTCGGAGCCGGACGACACGAACTCACAGTTCCAAGTCGCTTTACGGTGGCTCGTGATCTCCAGGCAGCATATGCACGCTGTTCAATGCAAATCGCTAATCTTCTCGACGTTCATGTGATTTAGACTTCTACAATGATCACTGACAGCACACAGAACTACCCGGGACGGTTGAGCTTCGCAACCGATGCTTGGACCTCACCAAATCATCGCGCGTTCGTCGCGTGGACAGTTCACCTTCAGCATGAAGGACATCCGTTGGTCCTCTTGCTCGACATCTACGAGGTTCCAGAGTCTCATACCGGCAAAACACTTGCGCGCGAATTCAATGAGATGCTTCAAAGATTCAATCTCTCAAGCAAGGTAGTGTCAAATCCTTTCCTTTCCGTTCGCTGAATCTTTAATTTCTAGATCCTGGCGTGGACGGGAGACAATGCAACATCAAACGACACCCAAAACGAAGCTCTGGGCGCCAATCTGAACAACGATTTCGATGCAGTCAATCGTGTTCGCTGCTTCAACCACACATTAAATCTCGCTGTAAAAGCATTCCTTCGCCCGTTTCAGCCACCCGAGAAGAAGAGGAAAGCAAACCA